CCCTTCTACGTTGTGAAGTCTTCATGCAACGATAGCTTCCATTCCAGTGTTTGGCTCCTGTGTGTAGCTGTAATCTGCTCCGGTGTGGTGAATGTACGTAGGGAAAGTCTGACCTTCATTGCGGATGGAGTGTAGGTGGGAGAGAGGTACCGATGTCCTTCCTGAACCCCCCAAATGGGCAATTTTACCACTTCTCCACCATTTTACCAATGTAGTTTGATAGATCTTTCTTTATCTCCCGATTTTTTGTTTTGGTGACCAGAGGCCACTTCTTAACTAATCACAATGGGCTTTGGTTTGTAGTTAACACATTCACATCTGTGATCCTCTAATATTATGTTAGGCCTTACTGCTCACATTCCAGATTTATGTTTGTCCCATCTTTTGTTTGATTTTTGCATTTTCCCCCTCCCTCTTACAGTGGGGCGAAGGCAACCCTTGGCTATCCAGCTATTGCCGCGTTATCTGTCCAGGCATGCAAAGGCTGGCATGACGTACCGGTAGTTCCACCACAGCTTGAGTGTTTGATCCTTGCCTACCTCATTGTACGTCCCTTTAATCTGAGCCATTTCCCCTATTCCATGCGTGTACGCCACGTGACTTCCGCAGAGTTTCTCTGAGGTTACAGAGGACCCCGGAGTGATATGCTACCTACAACCCAGAAATACAAAGAACAGAGCGCACTGGAGAGCGCATGTAACCGCATAATTAAACATCCACTGCAATTACAAAGTGCTTTGGTGCTACCTACAGCCCACTTAGGGGCCCGACCTGTTACTGCGCATGTCCCGTCTCCCTCCTATCTGGTCCGTTTCTAAAATGACTGTTTCCTGTCAGTAAGTTTTTTATGGGCATCACAGACAGTTGTGTGCTTCCTTTAGAGCAGGAGTGGCCAAACTCCGGGCCCTCCAGCTGTGGTGGAACTACAAATCCCATGAGGCATTGCGAGATTCTCACAGATTTTACTCCTGGAGAGAGAGAGAGAGATGCATCTTTGGGATTTGTAGTTTCACCACAGCAGGAGGGCCGGAGTTTGGCTACCCTTGCTTTAGAGAGATGAAAGGTGAGACGTGCCACACTTTTATCTACAGAGTTATGACCAGCGTCTAGAGGACAATTTTAGCCTGGTCTTGGAGCACCCTTCCAATGCTATAGTAGTTATGGACTGTTAATACCATAGTGGGGGGGTTCATACACTGAGCCTCTTGTTATGCGATAGCAGCCTGTGTACCTGGCGTGCCGGCTAGATTATTTGGGCATGAGAGGAATTGGTGGCCCCATGTAACTCGGTCATGAAGAGACCTGGCCTGAGGGTGGCTGTCATAGGTACAGTAGGTTCCTATACAGTTTCTGTATTTATAGGGGGTGGGCTTGTCTTAGACCCCAGTTCAAGCAAACTGAAAGCAGTCTCAGGGCACTGAAGGGGCATTTTTTGGGGGGCAAGGAAGGTAATAGCCAACACTTTGCATCTGCTGCTAGGCCACACTTGTGGGTTTTAGATGAGAGTGGAAGACACTTTATATTGCAGTCTTCCTAGCCCTGAAGACAGTGCCGGGACAAGGTCCTCTAGTACCCAAGGCAAAGGGGCCCAAGTGCCCTCCCCGATTCGTGAGCTGTGATCCACTTCCGCAGCATTGGTTACAGCTCTTGTGTCTCTTTCCTGCTAAAGCGCTCTTCTTCTGCATACCCCTCAGCCCAGCTC